GACAAACAGGCTACGATGGTACACGAAAACCATTGCTGAAGGATATGGAAGATGGCTGGTTGATATCACACAAACAGCAATAAAATTATTAAATAAACTATTTTTTTACTATAGTTCCCATGCATTAGTTATTTAAATAAACTTTTTTATGTAAGAAACATTGTAGATAATTACTATTTACTAAAATATTTGAAAAAACGTTGAAAGAATTTATTTTCATAAAGTGAATAAATGTCAGTGTGATGTACACATAGATGTGTTATCTACAGTAGTATCTTGAGGATGAATGGGTGGGTGACGGTGAGTGTGAATGAAGGGGATACACCCACACCCACACCCACACCCACACCTTCAAGAAAACGATCTGGGATTTTAAATGATTCAGTTGTGATTGCGAGATGATTTATATCAGTTTTAAATCATATTCTCACCCACACCAAGACCCTCAAGTGAATCGTAGCATCAGCAAGATTTGAAATTGAAAATATTAACTAGTAGAGACTTGAAGACTGAGACATTCACTTTAATCATGTCCTAGTTGACCAAAATGTGAATACATATGACATTTGACAGTTTATTCATGAAAAGATAATCATTTGGCAATTATATTTCCGTTCTACGTTATCGCGTATTTTTGAATAAAATCTCTTTCAATATCTTAAAACTTTGATATTTATTAAATGACTTTTTTTTTGGTAGACACGATCACAGATAAAACAAAACGCTAAAAAAAATTGTTGTTGTTCTCTTTCTTTTGGTTTTGTTAAGAACCAAACTCCGAAGTATGCTCATCAATTTGTGTATATGTATAACTTCCACGACCATCCATATATAAACAATACTAAAATAAGAGGAAGAGAAATATTTTTCAATTAAAAAAATAATCTATATTCATTACTTCATGATATTTCCATAAACTTTTTCGATGAGATACAGTAAATAAAGTAATACCAGCCTAAAAGAAATTATTTAAATAATAAAAACAAACATATAAGATTTTAATAACTACTTACATTTCGACAGTATTCATACATAAATCCTTCAACATCAACTGAAACGGCACTTGTACATTCATCAAGTATAGCGAATTGAGGTTTATGATAAAATAAACGTGCCATCTTAATTATAAGAATTTAAAATTTATATTGATATAAATCATCAATATCGAAATAGACGCATATATAATTGCGGTTATATTATAAAATAGAACTATTTTTGTAACAAAACTGTTTTTTCGATTAGAATATGTATGTTTGATTTAAAATTTTCGTTGGAAAAAGAAAACAAACTAAATACTTACGGCAATACGTTGTTTTTCTCCACCTGAAAGTACATCCATCCAATCTTGTACACCACTTAAACCACCTTCTCGTTGTGTTAAATAAGTTAATTGTACTTTATCAAGTAATTCACGTAAATTTTCATCTTTAACTCCTTTACGATGCATATCACCATGTGAATCAGGATAAATAATTTGATCACGTAATGTACCAATTATCATATATGGTTTTTGTGGAATGTAAAAAAGATGTCCACTACCTGGTTTTGTTAAAGTTCCACTTGCAATTGGCCATAACTAATAGATATATGTAACAAAATCGATAGTATAATTTATAAAATATCTTACTTCACCAATTGTACGAAATAAACTTGATTTTCCACATCCATTTGGTCCAACAACAATAACATTTTGACCTGATCGTACCGTAAAATTAAGATTTTCAATCAAAACATCACCTATTAACATATATATTAACGTGGAATTCTGCGATACAATCAATCAAATATAATCTTACCATTTGGAGTCATAAGTTTAACATTTTCAAATCTAAAAAATGAATTATATTAAATCTAATTTCAAAAACCAATTTTATTACTTTATAATTCCATCTTGTGTACGAATTTGTCCTTGATCATTTCTGTTGCCCATAGTAGTATTATTAATTCCAGTTCGAACACAATTACCTTGATTGACATCAGATAAAACTCCAATTAAATCTGTAACACGTGTTGTAAAACTAAATAAAAATTATCGTTATATATATATTTTTATTATTAGTTCAATTCTTACCCAGCTAATTTTGTTAATTCACGACCAGCAAGAACCTACAAGCAATTTTATTTCTCAATCTAAGTAGTATTGATAATAAACATCTCTTACCAAACGACCAACAGCTAATAAAATATTAAAAAAAATTAAATTAAATCTTTAATAATAAATATCACAAAAAATCATACCTTCAGCAAGTCGCATTAACATTCGACCAGATGAATAATAATCCTACACAAAAAACAAAAATTCATCACTAATCTGAAAATCACTCGATTTTATTCACCTCTAAAATTTGATTATATGTACTATTGGCATGTCTTGTATTCAATGGATCCAAAAATGGTCGACTAACAACATAATATCCGACACATGTTGATATATCTAAATAATTTAATTCATTCAATCGTAACTCGACATATACAAAGAATTTTTCAACTACATTAATCATAGAGATTCTTAAGATTTCATCGTGATAAAACTAGAGGTGTAAGCTGATAGAGTAATCGGCGGCGGGGCTAAGTTTTAAAAATGTTCGGCGGTGCGGATTTGATATTCCAAGGTTCTACAGCAGTGACGGCTCGAAAATTTCGAATACCATCGGCGGCGGCTGCTCAGCCGCACGGTTTACACCTTTAGATATGACACTCATTTTGAAGCAGTCATATAGATTATCAATAAAAAAAACGAAAGTTGCTTGGTTTTTAGAAATGAAATCATGTCAACAGAATGAGAATTGAACTTTAGAGGAAATCTTCAGTTTAATTAAAATAGATTGACATTAATATAAAAATTTTATAAAAAGATTGAATAAAATGTCGTTTTGTGAGAGTTTACTTCAGATACTCTTCTTTTGACATTGATGAAAATATAATTTAACAATAGAAAAGAGTGAGAAATATATACTATTGAAGGTATATCTATAGATGTTGTAACTGTGTAATCTAATTAATAGTTATCAATAAAACTGTCTTTTTTCGTATCAGAATTACGAACTCTTATTGTCGTATCAATTTGTCATGAGAATATTACAGACAGTAACTAAGTACTTTTTTTTATTGATATCTGTCATTTAAGATAGTTTGCCAAGTTGATGAATGATACATTATCTGTATGATTTCTAATGTTTCTCAAGTAATTATGACATATCTTTAAAATCTGTAATACTAAAGTTTATTGTTCGTAAATTAACTTACATTTTGCAACAACACTATCAATACAACCCATAACTAATCGAAAGATAATTAAACTTCGTAAATGTTTAATCTTAAAAAAAAAATATAAAACATTTTCTTTTGTTAATAAAAATTAATTATATCTACCAATCGTTCAAATCCATCACGTATAATCATTTTTTCTCGGCGACTACCATTATAAAATGCAATTTCTTCACAGTTTGTTATTAAACGTGAATTAACATATCGAAATTCTCCTTCAAATTGTTGTTCAGCAACAGTCATACGTCCAATAGGACGACGTAATCTTTTATTATATACAAAATCTTCATTCATATTTATTAATTTCATGAAATATTTTACCTTGTTAAAACAAGACCTGAGCAAACTAAATAAAGAACTAATAACGATGGTCCACCTGGACCTATTGATCCTGAGAGTTTTCTTGCATAAATAATTATATCTAAAAATGGCTAAATAGAGAGAAAATTTTATATATACATATATTAAATCATCCAATAAAATTACTTTTGAAATATTTGTATAAAGATCAGCAACACTTGAACAGAATTTTTCAACATCTTGTGTTAATAATTGATCAATATTATTAATACGACTATCAAGTGTATTAACTTGATAATAAGTAAATCCTCTTCAAAAAAAATGAAAATAATTTCTTCGACATATTAATTTAAATTTTTGTTTTACTTAAGATATTGATCATATAAATATAATGATAAACGTTTTCGAAAACGTAATTTAAGTTCTTCAAGAGTATACTATAAAAACACGTATGATAAATCCTATTTTAATAGTTCTATACTTACTCGAAGAGCATTATTAACGAATGCAATCTAAATTTTAAAAAGAAAAATTAATCATAAATATGAATAACTATCTTTTATATTTTACCAATGGCATTGCATAGGCAAATCGTGCTAGATTTTCTTTAAATAAAGGTACATTTCGTCCAATAATTGCACTTTCTACTGATGTACTATTTTTGATCATCCATACATCAGCATAAGTACGTGCTATGAGTGAAGCAGCAACAAGAGCAAGGAATAAGCTCTAGAAAATATGAATAAATATAAAAAAAACTAAATATTTTGATAAATTTTACTTCGCCACAGAAAATTTTCGGAACAAGAATTTTAAGTAAAGCAATTAGATTTCTAATAGAAAAGAAAAACAAATGAATTATTTATTATCAAATATTTTTATACCGAAAAAATCTTTTATCAACAGCAACACTTTGATTTTTCTTAGTCACATGCTAAATATAAATAATATTTTATAAACAAAATAAAAAAGAAGAAAACATACAGATTTCATAGATGAATTGATATCTTTTTCTAATAATCTAAATTAAAAAATAAATTAAAATATTTTTTTGTACAAAACAATTAACTGTTTAGAACGTTGACGAAGCCATTTCACTGTCATCCAATATGATACTGCCATCGACGTTGCTAATATTAAAAAAAAGTTATTTCTAATATAGTATTAAAAATATATCATCCTACCTAATACAAAACCATGGCGATATATAGCGGGTAATTTGCTCATACCAGCCATTGTTAAAATGAAAAATCTAAAAATATTGATATTATTAAGTACATTTGATAGTCTCTGTGTAGAGAAACAAAACATAAAAAGTCAATTAGTTTTCTTTTTCTTCTTTCTATTCTCTACTAAACGATGTGCATCAAAGATTATATTTCATTTTTCTGTTATAGAAATTATTTTAACGAATAAACAAAAGAAAAAAAAGTATGGTTTCACAAGGTAAGGAACAAGCAATTAAACATCTTTCCAATGCTAATTTAGCGTTTATTGCCGTACTTTTGGATGTACAAAGTGATTTAACTGATAAAACAAACAATTTATATGAATTAATTTTTGAAAATATTCAAGTTATTCGTGGTAATTTAAATCAAATAGAAGATGGTACACATTTTAAATATCTAAAAAGTTCAAAAGGTTTAAAATTTAAATTAGAAGATAAAAATAATGAAGAAAATAAACAAGCTGCAGTTGATGATGATGAAGTCAATGAACCTAAACAAGGTAAAACTTATCTAGCAATTCTTATTGATTCAAACAATATTACTGTTCTGGTTGAAATCAATCCTCATGATATTAATGAAATTCTTCAAAGTTCTCGAGATAAACAAACAACAACTATTTAAATTATTTTATACATCTATATTATTATTATTTTTATGTTAAACTAGCATATTGATAGAGATAGAATAAATAATAAACGGTAGTCATATTTAGAAAAGAAAAAATTCGAACTTTTGTATTATATAATGGGAGAAAAAGCAAACAAAATTAATGTTCAAAATACCAAATGATTGATTTCTTTCTTTTAATTGTTTTCTATCATGTCTAATCGATGTCAATTATGTACTATAGATAACTATTCTTGTTATTCTGAAAAAATCTATTGTTTAGAAAAGAGTAGTTCGCGTTCATTGATCGGATGAAAGCTTATAACTATTGATCGATGACGGAGTTATTAAAATGTGACTCACTATAATGTTATAGTGGATGGTTGATTCTGTCACCATCAATACAAGAATTGTGTGAGGACGCCACAAGTCAAATAATTGAATGCTAGAATCATCATGCTAAGTCGAATATCTATTTATAAAAATTACCCCTTTCATATCTGATGTCTAATAAAAAAGCAAATTATTATAAAATTCATAATATTATTAGATTCTTTTTTTGTGATGGGAATGAATCAACTCTAGAGTAAAAGTGATGGCTGATTATATTCGTAAATGTTCTTCTGACTCCCATCATGTTATTGAGTTTTAAACTACCACATATATAAAGCAGTTTATTTGAGTATTTTGACCGCTTTAAAAGAAAATCAAATTCTATCTTCAGCAGTTAAATGGAAAAGGATGGCAGATCAACTATTAATTTATAGGAGACGTGACTGTTTATTTTACATTTTTCTGTGCTATGATGTTCGTTACAGAAATATACAAAATTATATCCTTAGCATAAATCCTGCATTATATATTTGCCAAAATTGGTGTTGAAATATACAACATTGATATCTTTCTTTCATTACTTATTTTTCTAAGCACATATACATAACATTAGAGTATAGTATGACAATCATTCTGATATGTTTAAAGTTAGAAAATATACAAAAATCAAAATTGTCAGATATTGATAAATAGAAGAATAATCCATCATTCAAGTAAATCATTAATTTCATATAAAAAATAAGTTTTTTTCTTAGAGGTCATCCATAAAGGGCGCCTAGGTAAAAAGGGCATTTTGGACTCCTCCTGTCCTGGAGTGTCCGTGTTTTGCTGTCCCCCTTGGACATCCAGATTGCGAAAATTTTTGGGAAAATCAGTGATCAAAAAATCTAAAGCGTCTTCGCGTCCATGTGTATCTGATCCGCTTGCCTAGGCGTCCTTTATGTATGGTCCCTTATCTGAAACTTGTGTTTTTTATTTTTTAATCTTTATTACATCGCCTAAGGGTTATAAGATTCAATCGATATTTTCTATAATATTAATCATTAAAATACATGTTATTTTTTTGTATTTTATCCATATGTCAGACGATTAGTTTCTGTTGGTAAACAAAATTACAGGTAAAAAATAGACTAAAATATATGATTGACTGTATAAATCAAATCATATTTTCTCTATAAGGACATACATGAAAAGAAACAATTATTTTGTTATTATTCCATTGAAAATAAGATAATTTTTTAAAATTACTCTTTTATTAAATAAATTTCTAATCAATGATTTGACCTATTCGATGTGTAGGGAAGGAGACAGAGAGAAATCAAGTATGAAATGCTAGAGTATTGCTAAATGATACAGAAAAACTACTCTAAAGAAAACAAAAAAGGTCATCAAACTTATATACGATCGATTGATTATTTATGTTTGATCCTTCATAATATCCGATATCGTTCAGTTTTTGTTATTATGATAACAATTAATCTTCTCCGATTGCACACATAATATACATTTGATTTGACGTTAAAAAAATATTATTCTATATTCATATTTTATTGATTAGTTAATAATTTACTATTGTTAAAACTCTTATTTATTCTTTATTAAGATATTTTGATAAATACTCTTTTTCCTATATATATAATTGTGATATATGTATGTATGTATAAGAAGACAGAAGAAGAAAAAAATAAATCACGGACTGACAAAACCTTATTTTCACAATACAAAAGAAAAAAACCAACAACAACAACACTGAAAACACACATATGAGTAAATAAATTTTTAATAATTGATTCTCAAACACCAATACAACCTGATACTAATCTCCTCCATGTTTTATTTGAATGTGTATGATGACGTGTTCGATGTTTATCATTTTGTTGTTCAATTAATGGTAAAATTGATTTTGATGGAAGTGGTAATGATGTACTAGCTTCACGAAATTCTAATGCCGTTAAAACAGCTGTATCAAATACAGTTTTTAAGTTTTTCTCTGTTAATGCTGAACATTCAATATAAGTACATGCATGAATTTGTTGTGCATATAATCGTGCATCTTTTTCAGTCACCGGTTGTAATTTTTGTTGATCAAGTGTTAATAATGTTTTTAAATCAGATCGTAAATCCATTTGTGTACCAACAAGTATTATTGGAATTTTTGTATTGGAACGACGTGCACGAGATAACCAATATGTTATTGCATTTTGAAATGATTGAGGATTAACAACACTGAAGCAAAGTAAGATTACATCACTATATGGGATACAAAGGCTATGTAATGGTGAAAATTGTTCCTAGAATAAAAAAAGTAGAAATATATAATTATATCAATCAATGAATGGTAGTTTGTATTCTTGGAATTAACTTATCATCAAATTTTGACCCTGTGTATGTTCCTTCTATTGAAAGATAAGATTTATCAATCAGATCTTTTATCATACAAAGTTAAGGTTATTACATTAGTCGAGTTATTTACCTTTCCTCCCGTATCACAAATATCAAAATGAACTGGTTGAGTACCAACAGAAATATCAACAGAATAATTATCAAATGCAGTTGGAACATATTGTTTTGGAAAACCATTTGTTGTATAACTAACAACTAATGAAGATTTTCCAACACCACTATCACCAATAATAACTGATGTAATATGTCCACCTGTATTATGTGTATTTGTATGTGATGATGATGATGTTGATGATGATGATGGTACAAGTGGAACAGATGAACTTGATGATGAGATTGTTGTTGATGATTGAGTAGCTGATGAAGAGATTGTATCGAAACAATTTGGACTCATTTTCTAAATATATACAAGATTAAATTTATCATTCAGAAAAAAAAAGCAAACGAATATCTCTCGAATTTTTGTACATTATTATGTATATATGTTTTACGATGATAAAGAAGATATTACGTATGAATATAGAAGAAAAAAGACAAAAATGACAGACACCTAAAAATATTCGGTTACAAACAGAACTATCTGTTACTGTCCATAACATAGATTTTAATACTATTAATCTATAGGAAAATGACAAATATATGTTAACTCAAAATTAATATATATTACATTTATCAAAATACCTTTTGAATATGTAGATTCGAAGATTTTATTAATATTGGGGAAGACATCGAATGTTGATTGTTGTTTAGTAGTTCTACTAACAATAAATGATCTTTAGAGGATAAATAAACAGAAGAAAAAGAACTTGCTTGTTATACGTGCTCTTTTCTCTCTATTTGTCGACCATCTCGATTAGAGATATTTCTTATCATATATCATCATCTGGTTTCTTTTACTCCATTCTTGCTTATCCTAACAACGACAAACAAGGCTAACGAGATGGATAGAGAGAGAGAGAGAAAAATTTGAAGGGCGATCTATCTTCCTATAGTTCTTCGCCTATTTTTTTTATATTAAGAAATCATTTATTCATAATCTTTTTTTCTTCTGTCTTTAGTTATTGTCAATAAAATAATAAACGAAACGAGAAAGAACATCAAATCACTTCAACAATGCATATACACATTGTTTTGATTTCTATATAGAAGAAAAAAAACAGCAATAGAATTAGATCAAGATGCGATAGTTATTTAGCTAGACAAGTAAAATGATCTCTGATATATATCTAATGATATAGAGAATGAACTCAATTAGTATGTGTGATGTATATTAAAAAATAAGATTTAATAAACTTCTAAATCGTTGACTTACTTTAACCATAATTTCGATATTGACGGAAGAGAATGTATGATATATGTTGATGTGATGGTTACGGTCGGAAATCAATTTTTTGAAGGTATAACCGGAGAAAAACGAGCGAGAGAGAGAGAGAGAGGGGAGAGTAAAATAATCACTTTTTTTTTCTTCTGTTGAGGTCGTTGTCGTTCCCTTTGCGTCTTCTCAAGGATTCAATGAAAGCAACAAAAAAATTATTGTTATTACGTCACTATTATCACTTTTATTCACTCTTTAGGGTATACACAATATCTATAGAATAAAAAAAACGAGTAGCAATTTCTGATTTATATTTAACTTACATAAATATACAATCTCTCTTTCCTTGATAACAACAAATGATAAAAAAGTCAATAATGAATAATATCGATATAAAATACGAGAGCCTAATAAACATAAACATGTATTGATAAAGAGAAAAAAAGGGAGAGGAGAATACAGTTTTCTAATTGATAAACATCATAACGTTGTTGGTCACACTCCATCAAGTCAAGGTAAAAAGAAAAAAAAAGAGAAGCAAAAGAGGGCAAAAGGTAATAAGACTTATTATACTATGAACTGATGAAAAATAAGTTTAATAGTGATGGATGGACTATTCTCTATCAGCTGTCCTTCTCGTCTTTTTTTTTAATAAGGAAAGAAGATGAGTATCTTAGATATATATTGACTATCAATCAATCACATAAATGTATACGGACAGAAAAAAACTCAAACTTACGATCATCATGTTTGATCCAATGTTTTTCTTTTTTTTTTCTTCGAAATAAATATTCTATTAAATTGTGTTTGTGCATTCATATAAATGCAATTATTTTCTTTGTTAACAACTATACTATGAATAGAATATTTCTATTGTCTTTTTTAATATCACGAAAAGCAAGTCTGTATGTGATGGTATGTAAAAGAAAAAAAAAACAATGAAAGAAAATATGTCGATATATATATATATATGAATACGATCAACAATAGCACATATAATGAGTTTGAGAAGTCTATATATTTATCCTTTTGACGGGTTCAATCAACCATAAGAATGAGAAGTGACAAATTCATTTTTCCTCTTGATCTACTAACATTACGCATCAACTGTGTACCACATATCAACGGATGCCAAATCAATCATCTATGATGATATAACCATACTCGGTGAATTTGATGGCGTAAAGCAACGACTACTACTCATAACATGACTACATTATTGTTTGATAAGCTTTTTATCAGATGCTTTCAATTAAATCTAATTCTTATTAGATATATATACAACCGGTGCTCATATAAATAAACATATTTAGACGTCATTTATTTCTATGTTTTTTTTAAATCATGCTTTTTTTTCTTTTCTCTCAACAACAAAATCCACATCACTTAAATAAAGAATAGAAAAACGAAGTGGTTGTTTACCGTGGAAACATCTTTGTAGATTTGTTTTTTCCTTCTCCTAATAAAAGCATTTTAATTTATATTAAATCAATTAATAAATAGGGAAAAAAGAGCAGAGATGGTAAGTAACTAGTGAATATTTGAAGCACTTTATAAAATATTGAAAGGACGTTTTTCTAAAAAAGCAAGAAAAAAAAAGAGAAAACAGTATTTATTCTCACATTTTAAAAAGTTGCGTTGTCATTCACAAAGAAAAAACTCATTTACAATGATGACAGAATCACCGCTTACGATTCCTATTTATGATGGATCTTTAGTATCAGTACGTAGTACAGGTTCATCAATGACCAAAGCACAATTAACAACAGGTTTAGCTCGAAGGTATATCATCATCTTTTTTTGTGTTAGTTTTATCTTCTAATTTCAAAGATTAAAGTTTTAATAATAAATTCTCGTTTTTTTCACATTACTATTTGGCAGCCGACACTTCCGCATACTTAATTAAGAACAAAAACTTCTTTTGACTTAGTCAATAATACGCATGACATTTTAAAAAAAGAACCCAAAAATGGCAAGTAGAAAAGGTTCAACAAAAACTCTTATTGACAGGTTTGACATAGATTAAATCTTAAGAATACCTTAGATAAATCTATTAAAGATATACATATATATATCTATTGTTTTTATTTTATTAGAAAAGCTGAACCAGAACCAAAATGGAAAAGTGGTGAATTACCATCAAAATATCAATGTCCATCATGTTCGAATTATTTACGTTTTCCTGTTCAATTCGAAGATTGTGGACATTATGTATGTTCAAGTTGTTTACCAGATATTATGCGGTATGATAAATAAAAGTAAATTTCATATATATATCTTCTTTTTTATTTAGTGTTGCATCACGTTGTCCAACATGTCAAGTACCGATATCAAAAGATAAACTTGTGAATGATAAAACTTTACAAAAAGATATACAAAGTTTAGAAGTTTATTGTACGAATAAAGATAAAGGATGTGATTGGGATGGAACATTACGAGATTTTCCAGTACATTTTGAAACATGTGGATTTATATCCGTTGATTGTTTAAATGGATGTGGTGCAAAATTTGAAAAACGTTTTATGAATAAACATCAAAAGGATGATTGTCCAAAGCGAACAGTTTCTTGTGAATTTTGTATGTTAAAGAAATTTTTTGCTTATAAATAACTTTTTCTTTATAATCAATTAAAGGTAAAACAAGTATTATATTCGAAGATGAAATTCCTCATTTGAATGTTTGTACGGAATTTAAAATTCCTTGTCCAAATCAATGTTCAACAGAAGAATATCCACGAGGAAAAGTAAAAAAAAACCAGGAAAATTTTCAATTAAAAAATATAATTTTGTTTCATTTTTAGATGCAAGATCATTTAGAAAATGATTGTACTAAACAAGAAAGTCGTTGTCCATTTAATGAATGTGGATGTGAATATCGTGGTCATCGACCTGATATTGAAAAACATATGAAAGAAGCGCCTGGTATTCATTTAAATATGGCTGGTAAAACAATTGCATTACAAAAGAAACTTTTACAATTATATGAAGAACGTTCAAATGAACAAAAAAATTGGATTGAAATCTTAGCACGAAAAGTAAATGGATTAGAAAAAAATTATGGAGCTCAATATATATGGAAAATTGATCATTATTCAGTATGAATATATTTGTTGTTTTTTTCTTTTATTATTATGGAAATGTATTTTTGTTTTTAAGGAGAGACTTCAAGAAGCTCGTTCAAACAAAAAAACAACGTTATTTAGCCCACCGTTTTCTACTAGTCGTCATGGTTATCGTCTTGCATTGTCAATCTGTCTATGTGGAGATGGAAAAGGTAATAAATAAAAAATTATGTTTTGTTTTTTTAGATTAACACTTATATTAATTAAATTTTAGCTAAAGGAAAAAATGTTTCATTATTTATTTGTATTTGTCGAGGAGATTATGATTCGTTATTAACTTGGCCATTTTCACATCGTGTTACATTTACATTACTTGATCAATGTGAAGATCCGGATAATCGTCGTCATATAACATACGCTGTTAAACCAAATGTATGTAAAGAAAATCGACCATTTTTAGGTCGACCAATAACAGATCGGAATGCTAGTTTTGGAGCACAAAAATTTACAGATTTAGATGCAATGTCAACACTTGAATATATTAAAGATGATACAATATATATTAAAGTTGAAATTGATAATGAAGAAATGGTACCTATTTAAAAGTTATAAATGAAAATTTGAGTTCTTTTTTTTCTTCTTTTGCTTTGCAAATGTGAACGCATTTTTGCTTATTTTTGTGCATATAAATCATCATTTTTTTGTTCTATCATTTCAGTATTATACTTAAATAAAACTTCACTAACAACTAAATGATTTATAAATTATTCAAAAAATAAATAATCAATAATATTGATTTCTAATAATTCAATTGTCGCTTAAAAATAAAATGTTATTTAGTTCATCAGTGAATTTATTATAAACACGTGACCGGACAAGGGCGCGGCCATGAATATATGGGTGAAGGCGTGGGTAATAGTAACATGTAGTCATGAACTACATTCGCTCCATTACACACCCACCCACGTGTGCCTGTACCGCATACTCTAAAGATGTACATGTCACTATTTACGGATATGATATTTATAATATAGCTACGGGTAAACGAAGAAATAACATAATGTTTCACTTTTCAAATATGTTTAATCCAGAAAAAGGAAATTATATGTCATAAACTACTGGTTTTGATTTTCTTGTTTCTTTTCAAATTCTTGTATTGTTTGAATTGGATTATTTACTTTGGTCGTCTCTTCTGTCGATACAATTTCACGTGATTTAATTAATTCATTTTCGTAACGTAATAGTTGTAACATGAAACCATCATTAGGATATATTTGTGGACGTTTTTCTAAGAGATAATCAAAAGCATCTTTAAGTGTATTATGATGATACTATTTCGAAAAAATTTCTATATAATATTTTCTTTAGATTTTAATAATAGATTACTTTCATTAAATATGCTAAAACGATAGTTGCTGATCTTGAAATACCTAAAATAGAGATTTACTCAAAATAATCGTTGTATTAAATTTAAATTTACCAGCAGCACAATGGACAAGACAACGTTCATTCTTCATATGATAATTGTGCAATAATTCATTTGTACGATCAAAATACTAATTATAGAGAGAGAAATTAAATATTTTAAAAAAGCAATTCATAGGTTATTCTATATACTTGTTTAATATTTGTTCGAATATCATCATCCATTGTAATATAAATAATATCAAAACGATCGTGAGGAAGTTTTTCACTAATATCAATTTCACCTGCGTTAATAATATGTTCTAAAAAAAACATGTAATTATTTTCTCTTATTTTAAAACTAATGATTTACTAATTTGAAGTCGTTCGAGTAAATTTAAATTTGAACCATGAACTCTATTTCCTAAGAAAAGAAAATTATCCAATACAATGCTTGGTTCTTCTCCTGAACCAAATCGAAGATATTGTTGATATGCATCTCCTTTCCGTTCAATTTCTTGAAATTCTTTAATACGTCGAAGTTCTTCATCTGTAGGTAACCAAGTTGATGAAAGAGTCTGATCATCAACTGCTGGCGAACATGTAAATATAGGATTTATCATCGTCTACTAAGAAAATCAGAATATTTAATAATAGTAAGTCAACCAATATGTATTATTTCCAGACATGGGCGATACCACATCGGAATCGGCGAGTCTGATTCCAATTGTGGTGCTTACAAAATTCAAACTGTACGATTCCGATGCGATACTTAAAAAACTTCTTACTAGTTCCGGTCTCAAGATACAAAAATTTTGGTATCGATGCCATTTTCAGTTATATCGTTTTAAAAAAGTAAAATCTTAAATTAATTGTTCCGGATTTGAATGCTTTCAAAGCATTACAAAAATAATTTGAAAAAAAACAACGATCTATTAATTAACAATAACTATTAAATGTTTTTCATGTAAACGAGAATAAAACTCATATCATACAGAATTTTAACATAGACGATTCCAATGCCGATCCTTAAAATTAAATTTTTCGATTCTGATACGTTACTAAAAATAAATAAAACTCTTAATGATCCGGTTCCCAGTCCGAAAGAATCTGATTTTGCCCATGCAAAATTATTCATACAGTGAATGTTTACTCATATTGAAATAAGTTTCATAATGACTCAAATCTATTTTTCTTTTGTTGAATTCTCTTTTTTTTTGTATTTTTCTAGATGTCGTAAGTATAAACTTTTATTTTTAATTCTAGAAAATTTTTTTTTTACTATATTGTCTATTAAAAAAACAAAAAATAATCAACCGTGAATACAACTAATGTTTTTTTAATTGATCTATTTTATGAGATAAAATCATTCGATAATTTCATGATAAAATTGTGTGTAATATGCGGCAAAAAGAATAATATTTTTACCATATTAATAGTAAAATATGGTTGTAAACGAAATAGGGTAATTATTGACTTGGAAATAAATAAATAGTATTATTTAGTTAATAACGATCGATTCTCCGCAGTAGAATTAATTATTTTTATGCATGAAATATCATATAAAAAAGATATTTTATTTCGAGAGAATGAAATTTTATATTTATTCGTCTATTGAATTCAAAAATTTTAATTAATATGCAAAGCAAACTAAAAATCAATTATTTACTCTTAATAATATTCATCTTTTCTAAGATTACATTGAAAACATATGTAACTAAGTCACATCTATTTTTTTAACATGGGAAAAAAGATATTACTCATTCATTCTGAAATCATAGAAAAGCTAACAAATTGTCTTTGTTCGATTTATTAATATAGAATCGAAACCATATCTTGTATATATATACATGTATATATCTGTCACAATTTCTTTTATTAAAATTTGTTGAAACATGTCATATGCAACTAAACGAGTTTCAGTAGTTCGAATACCACGGCAAGTGTTAAATCAAGTAAATCCAGAACGTACGGATAAGAGCATCACAAAATCTTATTTAATACCACCTGATATTCCACGACATGAGAGAACATCTTCAAATAATCTCGAACAAATTGTAAGATTTTGATTATCTCGTTTTAATACAATATTGTTTTTGTTCAGTATACGTCTACATCAAAAACAGATCTCTTTACAACTACTGTTCCGAAAACATCAGTAAGATTTATACAACGATTTACATTAAATTCATAAATTATTTTTTTAGGATGTTAGAATTGATGATGTAGATAGACAAAATAGTGATATGCAATCAGTAAAATCTACTGTTACAGTTCAACAACAACCTACACGAATAGACACATGGATAAAACCTTCAACAGAAAATCAAAGTCGTCCACATTTAAATTGGAAAGGAACAAATAAATGGACATTTGGTCTTTGTTCATGTTGTGATGATTTTAATATGTTTTGTTATGCTTGTTCATGTTGGTGTTGTTTTCGACATGAATTAACATCAATGATGAATGAACATTGGTTATTATGGTTTCTTAATTGTTCACCATTAATGGAATTAAGAACTAAATTTCGACAACAATATGCCATTCAAGTAAATCTTTTTTTATTTATTAAAAACTATGAAATAGATCGTAGAATGACTCAACAGATACGGATAATTAAACTAGGAATTTTGCATGACGAGTACATACTAACAGGAAAATAGCTTTTTTCCTTGTGACAAGGTTCTTTAGTAGTACTCCCCATCATTTTTTTGGCCTAGGTGGGTGCACGGTACCTGTGCACCACCCTCTCGCTACGCCCCTGAATCAAACATTTGTTAAGAATTCTGTTTTGAAAACTGTTTGGCAGCGTTTTATCTAGGTTTTTCCTTCCGAGAGTGCGAAAATCTAAATTCTGGAGGAGAAATACATAGTATAAGCACGAAAATTGCAATTTTCGGGAAGGCAAAATCGTTCTCTGGGAGGGCGCCGCCATCTCTGTCCTCCCTCTAGATAAACCACTGCTGCTTAGAATAATAGTATGAGTTACTCTAGTCACATCTCCTGATATTATTCTACTCCTACATTCCTTTTAGAACATATCTCTACTGAATGCACTTTTTATTTTACGTATTTCGACAAATCTTTTATACACGATTGTAGTCAAATTTTTAGTTTATCTGAATAACTAAACGTGATAAGAAATAACTTCATATATTAAATAGTATTGTAGAATGTTTTTCTTCTCTTTTTGTTAAAATTTCATAGTAATAAATTTAGTTTTTGTAGTTTTATTAAGATAAAAATTAATTTGTTTGAATATTTTTTAGGGTTCAATTGGAGAAGATTTTTGTTTATCTACATGTTGTCCATTATGTGTTGCATTACAATTAGCCAATGAATCTCGTCAATATGGTCATCGTATTTTTACTTAAAATTTTTCATATTTTGTGTGTCTCTTTCTTTCTTATTGCTTGGTGAATAGAAAAAAGAAAAATCAACCAACAACAACATGAAAGAAAAAAAACCCTTTTAACGAAAGACAAAAAAAACACAAAGGAAAAGAATATGAGGAGAGAGAGAGAGAAAGAGAGAGAGAAGATCGGACACAAACAAAGACAAAAAAAAAAAGAAACGTACTGTTGTAGGAAATAATGTTTTATTTTAAGTTGTTGCAAACAGAAAACTTCGGTAGATCAGGCTTAAAAAGTTTTATTCAGTTTTTTATCCTACTTGTGTGCTTAATTTTTTAAATGTACACCGAGAACAAAAAAAGAAATGTGTGTTTAGAGGATAGAGAGTACTGTTTTGCACACATCAAAATCATACTTTAAACAAAAGAAATAACGGTCACAACTGATGAATGATATAGGATAAACAAGACATAGATCATATGAATACTTTTCAATTTTTGTTGTTGTTGTTGTTTTATATAGATAAACAAAGAAATATAGGGAGAGAAAGTCAGTCACAGATTTTTTGACGTTCAATTCGGAAGAAGAGAGATATGATAATCCATGATGAATCGCATGCGTTGTATACAGATATAATATATGTTTTGTTTTATGTAATAGAAAATAAATAAAGAGAATGAGGAAAAGAGAAAAACCGAAAAAAAAACACACACACATATATATTGTCTAATAACAAAAAAGAAAGAAAGAATAACAATAACAAATCATCAAAAAAGAAATTCTTTTGATGATATTAATTTAATTTCCTTCTTCTTCTTCGCCTTCTTCGACTTCTGTTTCAGCTTGTTGTAACCAAGTAAAAAAGTCTTTCGTAGACATTTCAACAACAGCATGTCCTAAAATATATATTTTACTAGATTTAGAATTATTATTCGATTGCTAACCTTCTGTCTCAGATTGATCTGGATGTTTCAACCATTCAAAAAATGCATCTTCACTTACACATTCTTCATCATAAAATATATCAAATAGTAGTCGAGCCATTTCTATAATAATAAAAAAATAAAAATTTAATCGTCTATCAATACATTATTCCAATGACGTAAGCAGAAGTAGACCATTTCATAAATGGGGAGGGGCTGTGGCACCGTCTGGTTCCACGCCTTCATATTTTTCTTTCAATAGGAAGTGATACAAAACAAGTAAATTATTTACAATATCATTATGTGTTTTTTTTTTTCGAATTGTTTGTATTTATAAAAATTCCATTACAGAACTATATTTTCTATTCTAAGACTGTGAGAAAAAAAAGGATGTTAGCACATCTGGATAGATTAATTTTTACATTGTAATCATCAAAGATATTCATCACAAATAAAAAACATCTGTTTCCATATTTTGATCGATTATGACGAAAGTTGATATTGCTAAAATATTCCTATTGGTTATTATTATTATTCTTTCGATATTTATACAATTCATTATGGTTGATTAGAAAAGATGATTATTTCATAATTAGGCAAATAAAAACATTGAACCTAATATGTAATATTAATTAACACAGACACACATACTTGGTGGATGTTCAAGTTTATTAACAAAATTTTGAATAGCATAAACAGCTTGAATTTCAGCTTCTGGTTTATGTTCAATAATTGCATTGAGTATAGTCATTCGTTTTTTTGCAATATCTTCTTGAATTTTCTTTTGTGGATCACGATTAATTAAACATGCTTCCAAATATGATAAAACAATATTTCGAATATAAAATTTTTCATTTGGATCCATATGCTATTTTGAGAAAAATGAATAAAAATTTTTTTGAAAAAAAAACAAATTTTGTTATTTTCTAACCTCACGAATATATGCAATAATTTCTGGATCAGTTACTGTTGTACCTTGATCATTAACAGATTTAAATAATTTAACAAGTTGAGAATCAGCACGTGGAGAAACATTTTCTTTTGTTTGAGGTGTTGAAGGTTCACTTTCAGGTGTATCAGATAACCAATCATATTCTTTTGTAAACGAAGAATCAATAAGATCAGATTTAAGTACATCATTAATAGAAAAACCGGATGTTTGCCAAAATTTTTGTATACGTGATTGAGACTAAAAATTTTATATAAATAGATAAAAACAATTCATTGCTTCAAGCATTAAAAGAACTCAACGGTTGTTTTTAAATACTTCTATTACTACACAAGTAGATGGAAATTATCTTGAGGGTAAATATTATTTCAATAACTTAAATCATGTCTTATAAAATATTAGAAATAAATTTTACCGAAAATTCAGTTGCATATCGAATAATATATTGAAATAATTGTTTCGATTTATCATCTGGAGCAGATTGTAAAATTTGTTTTATTAGTGACATATTCGATGTTGGAGCACCAATAAATGCACCTTAAAATTTTAAGAAAAAACAATTAAGTAAACGAGAAACAAAAATATCAATTGACATACCAATTATTTCACCAATATATTGCCAAATCAAAGGAATGTCAACTGCATAATCAGGTGCAGCTTCAACAGTCATTTTAAAACTAAAAAAGCAAAAATTTCGATTTTCTCTTTTTTGTTCTGTTTCAATAAAACTTACCCGGAAGTAAAAGCGTCAGTAGAGATAATTTCATCATTAAGTGCAGCATCAAGTAAATGTCCAACAGCTTTTCGAGCACGTGGTTTAGCTTCGAAAACATTAGAGAATAATTCTCGAACAATAATTGCTTGTTGATCAAGACTTGGAGTACGGAAAAGAGATAAATCTTCTAATGCTTCCTAAAATGAAATTTTCTTTATTAAATAAAATTCTTTTTTGCTATTTATTAATAAATTACTTTAACAGGTCGATCAGTTGATTCAGAATAATTTTCAGTATATTCTTCAATTAATGCATGTACACGAGCTTGCGTTTTTTCTTCATCGAATGATGTATTTGATGGATCGGGATTAATTACAGTTGAGGATTCATTTATTGATGTTTTACTTAATTGTGTTGTTAAACCAACATTTGATGCTCGTTCACTAACACTTGATTCACGTGATGCATTACGTGATTGTTCACGACTAACATTACGTGAACCTTCACGTGAATTTGCCATAGATGAATTACCGACAGTATTTAATGGACTACTTATTCCACTACTAGTAGTTGTTTTTCGTAATGATTGTAAAGCATTTTCACGATCGCGATGACTATTTTCACGTGCTAATTCCTAAAACATACGAAATAGAATAATGAAAATATTTGTAAAGAAAAAAGAATATTCTTCTTACACGTGATGATTGACGTTGAAGAGGATAAGATGGACCACCTTGAGATGAACCTATTTTACCTTTTATTTGTTGAACTGGACCAGCAGGTGGTTTACCAGCACTAAAAAATAAGAATTGAAATAATTTCATGAAATTCACCTAACATTTTTCATCAAGATAGAATAGAAATCAATCAAATTGAACTTTCAACAATTCGTTTCTATGGTGAAGAGAAATTGACCTTGTTACTCTCGACATATGTCTTACGTTGTAAATATTATTTAATTTACTTACCGTCCAGCAAATGAACGATCTTCTTCAGGTTTCTTTTCAATTCCAGATCCTTTTGCCCATGTACGTTGTGGTGCTAAATTAATAGCCTAAAAAAAACAAAACAATTTATTTTTATTCGATATTATTATATCTAGGAAATTACTAATTGTCCTCGACTTTGTTTATCAGTTGATTGTAATTGTCTTAGGGAATTAACATTAAAACGATTATCTACTCTATCATCATCATTTCTACTTGTTTGTTGTTTAATTCCACTACCACGACTACCACGTCCATCGTTATACTGTTGTTGATTACCACCACTATATGCACTACCAATAGCAGTACCACGATTTTGGTCACGTCGTTGTTGTCGATCACGTTCTTGATCACGTTCTTGTTGTTCACGTTTAATACGTTCTTGTTCATGAATTTCATCAATTGTCATGGGTTTTGCTTCAGCACGACGAGGAACCCATGATCCCTTTAATAATAATAATAATAAGAAGAAGAAGAACAATTGAATATAAAAATAAATTTTATTTCTCTTACTTGTCTTAATTCAAGAAGATCTTGAATCATAAAACGAATACGTGCAGATGCTTTTTGTTCTTTATTGTGGTCTTTAGTAATACCCTCTAATTCACGATAATGTTTTTCTAAATTTGTTTTATTTGCAGTCTAAAAATCAAAAATTTATTTAGAAAAAGATCTATTTCATTTTTTTCTTCAAATAATCTTACTTTTTCACTTGCTTTAGCTTCAAGTTCTTTACCAATAGTACGTAGAAGACGGCATAAACATTCAAGACTTTCTTCATCAGTTTTATCACGTAGTAAATATTCAATACAATCATACATAATAGTATCAGTTAACATTTGTAATTTAAATAATTCACCAATAAAACTAAAAAGAATTGAAATTATTTTCAAACAAATTATTAATATTCTAGACTTTGAACAGGTAAAATAAAAGTTAATTTTGATAACATATTACGAAAAGGAAAAAAAAGATTCTAGGCCAACCACTGTGTCTAAGTAGTTAGATTGTGGAGCATACTTCCAGTCTAGACGTTGTCAGACACGAAATGTACTAACAATTGTTTACTATACATACTATAATGACTATGTTATAACATACATCATTCTTCATATGTAACATAGTTCTGGATTGATTTTGACAATAGAAATGGTTAGAAAGTGCTTTCATCTAACATATCAGAGGCAAAATCCTAAAAGTACAGACGAAATTTTGGAAAGAACTTATCTCCATCAATGAATCTGATTGTTAGAGCTCATTGAATTAATATTATCGATTTCTATCGCGTATCTACGAAAATTTCAAATAAATAACTACAAGAGATGTTAAACTACTGAAATTGTATTATACATTAATTTAATTTCATTATAAATCGATTTCTACTCAAAAATACTGAGAAAAATAATGATTGTCTAATCTACAATAAAATATTCTCATACAAATCAAAATAACTCTTAAAATCAGTCTCTAAATCTCAATACAAATGCACTTATCTTTCTCAAGGTAATTACTTGTCAAAAACATGTCAGTCATAAATCTTAGATTATATACAGGCTAAAAACGTTTGCATCGTTTTTCATATATTTGAAAATAATACAGTTCGTGTCTATTAATTTAATAATTATATACTTACAAAATATTTCCTAATTTCCTTCGTTTTGCTTTAACAAGATCTTCTTCTAATTTTTCAGCTTCTTCTTTACGTTTCTTTTCATCCGTAATAGCTGTGACTTCACATTTTCTTTTATCATATTCGATTTCTTGTCTATAATCATTTTCGAATTCTTTTTGACAACGTGTTAATAATATTTGACGAAAATAATGTGTTACTGTTTTACCATCTTCTGACGGCACAGTCACTTGTTTCTTCAAGTAGAAAAAGAAATGAAATCATTAAAATTGAAAACAAAACAAAAAGTATGAAGTACAAACCTTTTGAAATTGTTTACATAATCTAGCATATAGAAAACTAAATGCTGGTTCATCAACAGCCTAAAAGAAATATAATAAAATCAGACTTGTGCAATTGTAATCTCGAAATTTAAAATATGCAAAAAATTCTCAATTATATCTTTAGTACAGTTTATCTATATAGTAGAAAAATAAAATTATATTTACTTTTGAAAAAAATATAGTAATCATTCCTTCTAATCGTTCATAACGATCAATTTCTAATAATTCAAGTTGTTTTTGTAATTTATCATATGTTTGTGGTGTAACTTTATTTAATATTGCTTTAACATCACGTAAAACTTTAATATTAGCATCGACTTTATTTTGATCAAGTGGTTTATAAGGATTTGCCACACGATTCTCAAAATCAGGTTCATTTGGTATATAAATAACTGGTTTACGTCTTGAATCACTTGCACTGTTGCCAGCATTATTTGAATAACGTGTTAAAGATGGATGATTACTTGATGACATTTGTCGATGAAATTGTGGATTGATATTACGTCCTTGACTATTTGTACCTGTATATGGATGTGAAAGACGATTAGTAAGTCCTTTGAGAACAATATCAAGATCTGGAAGTGAAGGAACTGGAAATGCTCCTGAACTATCACGAATACGTAGAAGTTCATGACGATCATAACGTAAACGTTGATTTATTGCTGCTTGAGATTTATCATCACTTGTTAATTGTGTTGGTGTTTGTGGAGGTGTAACACATTCTAATGATTCTGTTGTTGATAAAAGAGGTGTTGGATGAGAATCTGTCTGATTTGATGTAATTTCTTCATCAAGTTTAATTGCTGTTTCATCAGACTAATATGAAAAAAAACAAAATTTTAAGTTTATATATTTGATTTTTTTATTGACTACCTGACGACTTCGAAAATTAATGTAATTTTTTTGTAGTTTATCCTTTGCTACCATGTTTTTCAAATGATTTATTTAATGTACATCTCTTTTTATAAAGACAATGTGCACTTAAAATATATACGTCCTTTATATCTTCCTATTGTTGTACACAAGTGTGTTATTATTTTTTTTTCTTCTCGTTCTTACACACACACACACAAAAAATAGATAGACATGATCATGCGTTGAATCGATGGGTAAGGAGACATACCACTGATGGGGGGACAGAAGAAAAGAAAGGAAAAAAAAGAAAAGAATAGAAGTGTTTATGAGTCATAATATCGAAAATAGATGTTAGAGATAGGACAGGAAAAAACTAGAACGACAAGAATCTATTATTTTCAGTCATGGTAACTGTAAACAACAGATAGAAATTAGTTTTTTTTCGTTCTATTTTCTAAGCAAAACAACTTGAATATGCTAGAATTCTTACATATGATTGTGCAAGAGTACAAAAAGAAAAAAGAAGAAAATCTTGTTTATTTACCGTTGATTTTGAATCATTATTGGTTTTTTCATTTGATTCAATTGATGATGATGATTCAGTTTCTTGCTGTCTTTGAGAATCACTTCGATCACGTTTATCTTTGGTTTCATCTTGATTTGTTTTATTATTAGTACTTTTTGGTAAATCATCGGTTATAGTTCGTGTACGAATACCAGGATAACCTGGTTGTGGTTGTTCAGATGATTTACTTGACGTAGATTCTTTACTTCCTGTTGCTGATATACCACTTGATGGAACTGGTGTCGGAGATTTTGGTCGAGATACTGAACCTGAACGAGATGAAGACGCTGATGATGTTGATTGTGGTACAATGTTTTCTGATTGTTTAGTAGAAGTTTGTTTCGTTGATGAATCTTCATTTGATCCAGTAGATGCAACTTGTTGAGTTGTATTCTAGAAGACAAAAATTCGTAAATCATTTTTGTTTCACTAAACTTTCAATTAATGACAATAGAATCAATTTTTCTATACCTTATCTACTGAAGTACTTGGATTATCAATTAATAATTGTGCAATTTTATGTCGAAAATCAGTTTGTATTTGAGTTTTATTTGTATCATTTACTAATTTGACATTTGATGCTGCTGGTGAATCAGTAGTCGATTCATTTTGACGATTTTCATTAGTTGTACCATGTGGTACGGATGATGCTGGATTTGTAGCTGGCGTAGTTGTTGAAATATCTACAGCTGTATGTGATACAGGATCAACAATTGCTAATGGTTTTCTTTGACGTTTTTCTGGAGGTGGGGGAGCAGCATATGTATTCGTTTGCGGTATATTTTGTTGCATTGAGGGCTGAGATGTTGGCACATGTGGTTGTTCAATCTTTAAATATAAAATATATTGTTTTTATTTCAATTTAAAAAAAAGTATTTTTACTTGTTGATGTGGTGCCGCTTGTGGCGGATGCATTGCTGCTTGCTGTTGTAAATTCGTAGATAATGTATATTGTGCTGACTGTTGTAGTTGTTGTTGATTAGGAATTTGTGTTTGTTGTATTTGATAATTATTCGGTTGTATCGTATAAGATGCTAGATTAAAAATAAGAATATAATAAACTGATTTTTTTTCCCAAAAACACAAAATTTACCTGGAAAAAATTGTTGTTGTGGATGAAAAACAGGTGTTGTTTGTGCCATATTGACATTTCCTTGTGAATATTGAGCATATTGTGGTATATAACCTTGTGGACTAGGTATATTTTCATTCTGTGGTCGAACAATTTGATAAATATGTGGTTGATTCTTTTCAATGAAAAAAAAGAAAATAATTTATTAAAAAACGAAAATGATTTTATTCAATACAGGTAATCGTGGATTAGATGAAGGAACAAATGGTGCAGGTAAATAAGCTGCTTGTTGAAAATATTGTTGTGGATAACCATTAGGCACTTGTTGAGTTATAAACTAAATACAACAAAATTAAATCAAAACAAAATATTTTATTTTCTATAATTTACTCGTTGTGGGGCATATGATCCCGGATTCCTTACTGGCATTGGAAATTCTAAGATATATGAAAAATAATTATATGAAAATTTCCAAAAAAATTAATAATATACGTTGTTCTATACCATTATTTTGCATAAAATAACTATTTTGTTGTTGATGTGATGTTGCTGGTGGGTTATTATAATATTGTTGAGGATCTGTACTCATTGTTTGCATATAAAATATAATAATAATCAATTAATTTTTTTGATGGGTTTTTTTTTATATAAAAAATTGATTCCAGTTCATCTTTAAAGGGAAAAAGACAAAATAGTTATTTTTTTTTGCAAACAAATAAGAAAAATAATCTTACTTTTTTTTTAAAACAATGTTTTAGAAGCGATTGCTGACCTAATTACGGACAGCGATGAATTAATAAATAAATAATAAAAAAAGACGTTTTTATTTTTTTTATTTTTATTGTTGTTTTTTTTAATCGTCACAAATTGGACGAATAGAGATTTAAGTAAATTGGTTAAATACTAAAAAATAAGAATTTTTATTTTGACGAAATAAATGAACAATATATATAGGTAGATTGTAATATGTACTCTATGTCTGCGTGTCTCTCTATATATATATATATATTAAAAGAGAGTGAGCGAGAAAGACATAATAATGTTGCTGTTCGTATTTCGTGTTTAATGTGAGAGAAGGAGACGCTAAGAGAAGAAAAAAAGAAAATTATGTTGATACTACATAGAGGTTAAATGAAGATTTTCTATTCGTTGATTATATCCAAACAAAATGAAATTTAATATTTCATATATATCCTCCTTAGTATTTATATTTCGATGAAAAGAATAAGAATAAAAGTGTTTTTTTAACATCGAAATATTTTTATGAATAATTCAAATGAAAAAAAAGAGAATTTGTTTTCTTTTCGAAAGAAAAATCTAGATGTCACTTTTACATGTTTTATTTATGATATATAGTAGATTTAAGATTGATCGATATTGAGTTCATGTCTTTATTATCAATGAAATGATCGAGATTTTAGATATCTCGAATGATTGATTAAAGAAAAAGGAATTGTTCAATTTGCTAATCATATAAAAGAATTTTCTTTGTTATCAAAAAAACTCTTGTATTCATAGTTTATGTCAAATGATATTCTAGTACTATCTGTCATCTTTTAAGATTGTATGAGGTCAGTCACAATGGAAAAAATAAGACGAATTAACAGTCAATCAACCAATATAATAGCCGTTGTTATGTGGAAACGCCAATGATATTGCTTAATTTAACTTCAAACTGAATTATGTTTCTCTGTGTGATTGAAACCTGTGCAAGGAATTCAGCATTACAAACGCTCCTTTTTGAATATGGAAATACATGAGTAAATTATGAAGATTTACTCGAAAGTACCGGCTTTCATAAAAATTTGCTTTCTTATTAATCTACGATGTGTATACGAGATAAAATATACACAGGAATATGTTTTTATAGACACTTTAGCCTTAACTTTCAAGTACTTAAAAACCTTCGTTGACTAGGTACTCAAGATATAAGATAAATTATTTATTTAACTGTCTATTCTACTATGAAAACGATTTGACAAAAAATTACTTTCGCATAATAAGGAACTAATTTGGATGAAAAATATTATAACACGGAGAACAATCTCGCCCATTAAAACTTATAGAACAGATTGCGTTATCATTGAATCAAGTTTTTAGAAATATCTTGTGTCGTATTTTGTTATAAATAAAATTCTGTATTATGACCTCAATGGATAGCATATGTAGTGAGAAGTAAATCTTTTTTCTCTTTTTAATATCATCAATTGACTTGAATATGTCAATTGAATTAATAGATCATATAAGAAAAATTCTCACTTCTATTTCTATCTTTCTTATTCAATGACATCTATTGTGTTAATTGGTCTGATCCATTTAGATACGTTCATAAAAATTTTCTATGTAACACGTCAAGAACGAGATAATCTTGATAATAATTTTTATATCAGATTCTTCTATACGCATTGAAGAATATGAGTATGACCTTATATTTATACGAATCGAAATTTAACTGATCGTAGACGTCGTTTAGAAAATGGTATGTATGAACAGTTATACAAATATCTGATGTTCTCTATTAACTGTACTGCATACATTTTAAATATAATATGATATAGTTTTGCTTCACTAGGAAAAGAAAATAATACGAATGTATTGTTCATGCTATCAACAATAAAAATCATGTCTGTAAATTCAGGAAAAATATTTTCTCTAACATTAATTATTGATCAGATACAATAATAACCGATAAATCAAACAACAGATAGCTAAACTCGATGTTAGTCTCAATTACAGATATATCTATGATCACAAGGATTTGATTTATCTTCGTACAAAAAAAGCTTAGATCTTACGGCATTCGATTCAACATCCAAGCATTCTCAAATAGTAATATCAACATCAAAAGTTCCATATATATATTTTTAATATTTTCGAATAGATTTTATATCGGAATTATCATTCGAAATTTCTGTATCGAATTCATCTCGATAAATAATATGATTCTTTTTAATAAGTAATTGTCGATTATATGGTGATAAAATCAATGGTAATGTTAAAGCAACTATAATAAACCACAGATATTTTATCAAAAAAAACAAATTTTTGATTTGGAAATACTTGATAAAATTCCAATAGTAATTGCTGCACAAGCAATCCATTTTCCTAAATAAGTCGATGGTAGAAAACCTTCGAAACCAACATTTGTTATTGCTAATATTGTATAATAAATACTTGTACCAACATTAGGAAAAAGTACAGTTGATGTTGGATTTGTTGTTCGTTCAATTGAATAAATAATTGTACCAAACACACAACTAGTACCTAATTAAAGATTATTTAAAATTCTATTATTCCTATAATTCATATCCTTATACCTAATAAAACAACAGATAATGTTAGAAATTCTATTGAAGCTTTTCCTAAATGATTTTATTGAAAATTAAAACAATTTTTTAATATATATCTATTAAAATACAAACCAAATGATTCTATAAGATGTTTAATTGATCGATGATATCTTCCAAGTTTAATCATTCTCAATGTTTTAATAATATCAATTAATTGAAAAGCTAATGTCATTGATTTAATATGATTTGTTAAAGGTTCTTTTTGACGATTATATATCAAACTTAATATTCCATAAACAATTGTATTTAATATATTAATTACATCAATCCTAAAACTATTTAAATGTAATTTTATTCCATAGAATTTTTTTTCTACCAGAAAAAAATTGATTTTATACAAAGATATAAATTCGGTGTTGAATATATACGTAAAAACAATTCAATAAACCAAAGAAAAAGAAAAATAATTTCAATTGTATATGTTAAAGATTTTATATCAGGACGATAATCAATAAACTGAACAGTTATATTAACAGGATGTATAGAATTTTGTATATAACCACGATATTTTTCAATAAATTCAAGAAAATATTTATTTCTTGTAATAATTATATCATACATCAATGAAAATATTGAACATAAACAAATTATACCAAAAATAAATCGATATAATGGACCATAGAAAGTTTCATTGTATTCCATTGAACGCCAAAGTAATTTTTTTATTGATGATCGAGGTAAATAACGAATTTCAGTTGTATCGGATATTTGAGGAATATCATATGTTAGTTTTAATTTTGATAAAAATTCATTATCTATGAAGTAAAAACTTAAAGATTCAATCGATAATTGTTGTATTTATTCTTGAGAATTCAACTTACTTCAGTTCTTCAATATATAAATCCTATGAAAGAATTCTTTCTGATTACTTTTTTATTTTATTTTATTTTAAAAAACTCACAAGTGGTATATCAATAGGTCTTGATAAGATTCCATGATTTATATAGAAAACAAGTATTTCAAAAAAAGAACGATTACGTGAAATACAATAAACTTGTCGAAGAGGATCATAATATTGTTTCATATAAATATCATTATTAAAAATTAATGAAGGAATTTTTTTTATATTTTCGAGATTTAATTCATAAGTATAGCCTGCTACAAGATATATTTGAAAAATCATTGATTTTAGTTTCAAATACAAACGCGCGTGATTATGTTAAAAATAACAAACAGAAATGTGTTAGGAAAAAATAAAAAACTACATTGTATAATACCAATATGTGTTTGATGGATTATTATTATTATTTGATTGCGGGAATGATTGAACTGTATGAAATGCAAACGCTCCTGGTGGAAGAAGTTTCGTATCGAATGGTAGGCCAGAAAATTCGTCAGGTTTAAATACAGATGTAGGAAAATTTTGCGAAAGAAATGCACGCACAGGAGCTTCTTGTTGTGGATATGTTGGTATAGCAACCTGTTGCTGTGTAAATCCTTGTGTAGGGACCTGTTGTTGACCGAATGCTGGTGTAGGAGCCGGTTGTGGTTGCCCGAATGCTGGTGTAGGAGCTGGTTGTGGTTGCCCGAATGCTGGTGTAGGAGCCGGTTGTGGTTGTTGTGGATATGCTGGTGTAGGAGCCGGTTGTGGTTGTTGTGGATATGCTGGTGTAGGAGCCTGTGGTTGCTGTGGAAATGCCGGTGTTGGAACCTGTTGTTGTTGCTGTGGAAATGCCGGTGTAGGAACCTGTTGTTGTGGAAATGCCGGTGTAGGAACCTGTTGTTGTGGAAATGCCGGTGTAGGTGCTTGTTGTTGTTGCGGATATGCTGGCGTTGGGAGTTGTTGTTGTGTGTATGCTGGTGCAGGAAGCTCTATTTGTGTAAATGCCGGTGCAGAAAACTGTTGTTGCGGAAATGCTGGTGTTGGAACCTGTTGATGTTGAAATACTGATGCTGGAAATTGTTGCTGCATGAATACTGGCGATGGAATCTGTTGTTGAAAGGCAGATTTAGAAATTTCTTCTTGTATGAATGTAGATGCAGGAAACTGTTGTTGTTGGTGGTGATGGTGTTGGTGGTGTTGATGTTGGTGTTGATGATGTTGATGTTGGTGATGTTGGTGATGTTGATGTTGCTGTGTCAATGCATGTTGAGGTGAAGCTACTTTCGAAATTTCATCATGTTTATGGTGATGGTTTTTATGCGGTCCATTTGAGTAGTTGTTATCAGGCTGAATTACGTAATACTCTTCCATAATTTCATAATCTTGATGTGTATTTTGTATAGGTTTTTTTTTCGCATTGTTCTGTTCATTATGTACTGTTACTGATTTTGGTCGAGTATGAATTTTAACTGGCGTTTTTGAATGATCATTATTTGATATTAAACGACTCATATCTTTTGATAATTTATTTCCAGTTGAATTATCTGGATTTGATCTCATATGAGAATCGTAACTATGTGTATGAGTTAAAGGCACATGTTCTGGAACCGGTGACATCTTTGAAATCACTCGTGTTCGGGTACTCCGACCTGACCTATTATCTTTTGTTCGATCAACATGCTTAGCACCAGGTACGGGTGTATATGGACCAGTTGCTGTTTGTGATGATTGTTTAGTCAGTTTAGTTGTTGATAAGGATTGAGGTCGAGGAGCCATTAATTTATGACTACTACCAACTGGTGCTGTATGTGTAGTACGACGTGGGGCATGGGATGAACGATTCGAGCGAGAATTGGAAGAATGATCACGTGTTATTCGATGGGAAACATTTTTCTGATGTTCTGATAATAGCCAACAATTAATTGGTACTTTTTGTGTCTTATAAAAAAATCCAGAATTTTGTCGACTAATCTGATAACTTGCTTTTTGTTCTTCACCTGTTGCTGATGCAATATATATTCCACTATTTACTTCTTTAACTCGTGTTCCATTACTGTTCATCTAAATATAAGATATAATAAATATATATATAGAGTTTATTTTTTTATTCTAATCTTTCTTACTTTAAAATAAAGTGGTACTTTCGAACAATCTTGTTTTGGATCAGCTCTATGATAAGCTCTAAAACAGGCTTCAACAAGTTCTAATGCAGCATGTTTAGTTTTTGTAACAAAACAATGACATTCATCACCGGGCAAATGACGAGTTCGTCGAAAAGTAACAGCAAATAATGGTGGATTTTGTGAATTATTAATATGATTAGCTTCTGGAGCATCTAATGAAACAAAACGCCAATCATTTGAAGATTTATTACCAGTTTGACTACGTTTTGCAAAACGTATACTAGCACAATAAGCAAGAGACCGAATAGGATAATATAACGTAACAGATGGATCACTAATAAATTGAATTTGTAAACCATTTTCATCAACAGATAACCATGCTTCAAGTCCTATTAAAAATTTATAAATGATGCAATCTATTCATTTTTCAAATATATTTATTTTTCTTACCACAAACAGTATCTTCACCATTGACTGGATATCGTTTAGATAATGGTGCTTGAATAGCATCGAGACCACGTTGATCTGGTGATGGAATAGCTGCACCCAAATACAATACAATACGTTTAGCTCTAAATGATAAGAAAAATAAATTCTTTATGTAAGTCTATTATATATTTTAAACTAAGAAAGATAATCATTTATGAATTAAATCTGTCTATTTTAAACATCTTATATCTATATCATTAGATTAATTGATTTGACTTATGTCCTTCGAGTATAATATCATCACACATGATTGATTGTAAGGATAAGAGCATAGACAAGACAATTTATCTTTTGATTAGTTTGTTAAATATTAAAAACGTAAATTAATATTTTCTAAATTAAAAATTAACTTACAATAATTTCGATTCCTTGAAAGTAGTCAATCGTTGATTACTAATCGATCGATTTTTTTCCAAAAATATATCAGATAATTCTGGTTCAGTATCATTAGAATAAACACTTTGAATAGATTTTGATTTGTTCATTTGTTGTTTATTTCGATTTTCATTTCCATAACCCATTTTTTCTCCTGAATAAACCATTTTCGTCGTTAACTAACCAGCAAATAAAATCAATCTGTATATTTTGTTTTTTTCTCTCGAATAATCACGACCAATACACTATCTTACTATTACGGTTATCGTTATTTGTTAGTGGTGATAGAGAGTCACCCATATAAGAATGCTCATTAGACCGTATCAATCGTCATATAGAAAAAAAAAGGAATAGCTAATAATTATTTTCAATGATGATCCATTGTCAGTTGATTCTTAGTTTTTATGTAAATTCGTAAATATTAATTATCAATTTAAATCTCGTTATTATCTTATTTAAAAGATAAATATCATTATTTCATCAAAAATTTATAAGAAAAACAAAAAAAAAATAAAATCACTAATTACAATCATGTGTTTTTATCCTTTTAGGGTACTTGTTGATCAATTACGATATGACTCAGTTCGATTCACTGCACATAGAATGTTTGATTATGTTTTTGTAAATAATTTATCACATCTTATTTTAATAAGACAAAATTTATTTACTTTTTAAATCACCGGTTTATTTTAAATTACAAAAAAAAACGAAAAATTTATTATAAAAAATTACAAATACTCATTTTTTTTATCATTATATATTAAAAAATATTACAAACTAATATTGATATAATTAAAATTATATATTTTATGATTGTTGTTTGAAATCTATCACAGCCGTTACTTAGGTTAATTATTGATGAATATAATGTTTGATTTTGGTTAATTATTGTATTAATAAATGGAATAAAATAAGGAACACGTGTATAAATACCAGAATGACCAGGCAAAGCACATCCATAACCATTTGATGTTATGCCTACAAGTTCCCAATGGTCCGTAACGAAAGCCATTAGTGGTCCGCCACTATCACCTTGACATGAATCTAAATAACAAGAAATAATTTTAATGTTTGTTTTTTTTTAAAACGAAATAAAATTTCTCTACCTTTTCCACCACCTGCTACTCCAGCACAAAAAGTAAGTGTAGAATTAACCATGTCTCCTGTAGATGTTGTACAATCTGTTGAATTACTAGCTACTGCTTGTACTGTAACTTGTTGTAAAGTTTTTGATTTAATACCACTACCACTTTCAGTTACACCCCATCCAACAACAACAAGATTTGTTCCTGGTTTTGGATCTTCTGATATAGCATTCTCTTCAGCCGTTACAGCATTCGGTAAACATATTGCTGCTAATCTTGAATCTGACATATTGAATGATTTTGACACACGAATAATCGCAATATCATTTAGTGTCAAACGATTGTCATATTGTGGATGTATAAAAACTTCGTGTACCGAACGTATTTGTCCTTGTTTATCGGTATCCGAAAGTAAATTACTTCCAGCAATTAATGTAAGTTTTGATAATGTTGATATTTCTGAATAAATACAATGTGCAGCAGTTACTACTAAATCCGATGCAATTATTGAACCAGCACAATAATAATGATGTGAACGGTATAATCCTACTGTCCAACCCCATGTATGAGATGGAGCTGTTTCACCACCAATGATACGTGATTGAATAGCTGTATTCATTGAACATCCACATGGTGATTGTTGATTACATTCATATGTTGTCTCATTATTACTTTCTATAATGTTGAAAAAAGTTAATAGAAGAACGCAAGTAACAACACACCTGTGCATTATGAATACGACTGGACACATTTTGTTACAAGGCTTGATATATCAATATTTTGACATGCATGATTTACCTTCTTATACATATATGTAAATCATTCTTATCTTTTCTTTCATAAGACAGATAAAAGGATGTTTAAGGTCGTGTCAACCATTCAATAATTTATATTTTATTGACGTCAAAATTAACCATATATTGTAATCTATCTTTTCATTGTTTCATATTTCTGCCTGACTTTTCATTCATCGAAAAAATATACAAATCATGATAACAAATAATCTAGTTATTCTTTGTTTTATTAACCCACTCTCAAGACGTCGCCAATGATCTGTATCGTCAGTCATAGAAACTGGCTTATTAACATAAACGGGTTAATAAATCAAAAGAAATATTATAACTAACCCTTGTGATCAGAGGTAACTACGTTCTTATCATAATGTTAATTGCGTAAAATATTAAAAGAAAGTATCTCTGTGCTTGAATCAAATATATCTCTAGATATGTTTATTTTTTTATTTTCTGTATAATGTAATTCTTTTTCTTTTTTTTTTTGTTAAATGTTTCTAACGACAGAGAGTTCAATGAAACTAGAGACGGAAAAATAAACAAAACACAAAATCAAAAACAAAGTAAAAAGTAATTTCACACACGCACACTCACACACAAATAATTTCTTTGAAGTTTTTGAATTATATTTAAACAGAGAAAAAACTACTGTATTTAAGAATCGAGTAATTGTGCTTCATCATGTGTTTCTAATTCATATTGTTGAGGTTTTGTTGGATCATTAAGAAGAGTTATTTCTTCATCTTCATCGGTATCATTTGATCGATTTTTTGTTTCTAATGTATTGCTCATTGCACGACGCTTTAAAAAAAAATAATTATTTACGAAAAAAAAAAGCAGAAGTTTTTACCATATCTGCTGATGTTTTAGCTCTAAGACTTTCAATTTCTTTTTTTAATATCTCTTGACGTTGTTTAAGTATATCTTGTTGACTAAGTTTAATTGGTGGTGAAGTTGATTTTATTGGTATTGTACGAAGTGAATCTTTAAGTGTAACTATCGTGGTATCAACTTGTTTCATTAATGAACGTATTGAATCTTTTTCTTCATTTGTTTCTGATGATTCAAGTTTTTTTAATAATAATTTTTGTTGTTGAATTTGTTCTTCTAATAAACCTTGTTTTTTACGACGAATTTCAATTGCAGCTTTTTTTGCTGCTTCCTTTTTGATTATTGATGGAACAGGTGGAATAGTCGATTTTTTTTTCGTTAATGTCTAAATAATTACAAAAAAAAATAGTAATCATAGTATTGATTGAATATATATATATATGTCAAAAGTCAATTTTACTTCATTAGTATTGGGTGTTGGTTTTTGTATTTTTGTCCAATGATGTTTCGCTGGATTCGGTGGTGATATTGGTTTTTTTGTTGATGATACATCAGATGAAGATGAAATAGGATTTTGTATCTAAAGAATTGTTTTTATGTTAATAGAAATGAAAAAAAAATGAAATTACTTTATTAGGATTATGCCAAAATATTTTTATAAAACGATTATTAAATAATGGTTCAGGATTTTTGTATGCTGTTTCAGCTTCTTGAAATGTTCCATAAGCAATCAATGCTGAATCAGGAGAACCATCAAAAGCAATCTAAATTGATGAATGAAAGTTAGTTTAGTCTCTTTGTAACGAATTATATAATACCTGAACGTTAGTAACAGTACCAAATTTACTAAAATGTTCGTTTAATTTTGAAATTGTATTAGATTCAACAGGAATTTTACGTATTTCAAGTGTTGCTGGTCCTGATGCGGATCCTTCAGATTTTTGCCCTAAATTATTAAAAAATAGATATATATATATTTATTAGTATTATTAAACATACATGGACGTTTTCGGCCTCGATTTTGATTATTATCATGATGATTATTGTTATTTTTTGATTGATGATCACGTTGTTGTATTCGTTTATCCATTGGATATGATGTTGTTGTGACATGTCGTTTTGTCCGAGATATCAAACCACTGCCTAGAAAATTAAATAATTAACAAAAAACTGAAAATATATTTCGAAAATTTTACTAGAATCATTTTGTCGTAATTTTTGTTCTAATGGTAATGGTTCAGCATTAGTTACAACTGTTACCAGTGTTCGTTGACCAATTGGTAATGGTTGTCTCGCATACATTGATGATTGTTGATGTGGATCATATTTTAAATCAGGTGCTTCAGGATTATATGGTTGATGCAGATGTGATGATGATGAATTATCATATTGTTGATAAGATGGATAATAATTTTGTTGTTCGAATGGTAAATTATTTGATCCATGATCATATGGACATGAATCTCCGAGTGCACAATAACCTTTATTATCAATATAATCTTTACATGGTATTTTATTTAGATTTGTTGGTGACTGAGGAGATGAAGAATCAGTTGATGAATGAGAATAAGAACGTTGAGTGCGTTTAGCTGCTGGCGAACCTCCCGATTGACGTTTATTATTATCAGTACGACGAGAAGAATATCGTCTAAATGGAAAAGAATTAAAAATAGTTTTGATTTTATTGAAATTTTACCTTTTTATAGGTGTAGATGAAGATGTTGTTGGTATTGGAGTTGATTCAATTTGTGGAATATTCTCTTCTTTTGTTGATGATGGTACATTTTGTTGTTGATGTATTTCTAATAATTCAGAATTTATTTCACTTGGTTTAGGTTGAACATTTTCCTAGTTAATTTATTTTGTGAAAAAAAAACAATTCTAATTACAATATGATTTTCCTTACTTTTTTTCCATCGGGAATATATCTTCGATTTCGTATAACATCAAATAATTGTTCAACAAAATCTTTCGTAGCTAAAATAATAAAAAAATTAATTTAACAAACAAAAAATTCATTATTTTTCAAACCTCGATCAAGAAAAACTTCAAGTCTATCAACACAATTTTCACGAAGTTTATCTAAGGGTTTATCTTTAGCAACAAGTGCGAGGACATAACGAGCAAGTGCAATTGGTTCAGCATCACATCTAATATAGAATGAATTAGAAGAAATTTTCAAATAAAATATTAATTTACAATGGTTCAAGTGTTACAACAAGCCAGTCACGTAATGCTATTTCGTCGTCGATTAACATGAGAGATATATTTATTTAAAATAAATCTAAAAATAATCGTTCTTTTTTTATTTAAATTAAAATATAAGACTTAAACAAATTAATACATATGATAGAATCAAATTTTAATAATTATTTTTTTCTATTTTCCATATTTATATAAATATATCTGATTTGTTTTTTCTCTTTCATCTATCAGTTGTTGTATGTGTAGACATAATCACTCTGTCACTAGCTAATTGAAAAGAAGAACAGATAGAGGGCGCAAATTACCGTTCATATTGTATTCGTAGTATAGTAAATCATTAAAGGAAAATAAAATATATAATATCGGTTGAATTACTCAGCAAAAAAATCTAGAATTTTTATGGGAAAGAGCAATTTCAATCAATGATAATTCATTCTATTAAGATTCTATCGCTCTTAACACCCATTAGAGTTATCATGCAATTCATTCGGATAACGAGCTTCCATTGAAATCAATTTCTAATTAGTTTATCATAAATCATTAAATAAATTATTCAGAGACATACTATATTTTATACACATTTTCAACCTTTAATTTCAAGTACTAAAATACATCATTAGAGAGAGAAAGAGAATATATATGATGAATAATTTTTTTATCCCTTCATTATATATATAGTCCTTCACTGCCTAACGATGTACATTACGAATAAATAAACCGAAAAAGTCAGAAAAAAAAAGTTTCTCTAGATCAATTAAATATTCATTATAATGAAAAATAATCATATCGAAAGGTGATTAATAGTTATAAAATGAAATAGACAAAAAACGATCAACTATATTGAAGATTTTCTTCATTAATATAAGTGTTTGTATATAACCTTATGAATATTTAGTGTTTCTTTAATCAATTCTTAATTCTAGAAAAATAACTATGATATAAGATAGTTTGTGAAATTCAGTTAGATCAATTCACTGGAAAAAAATAAACGTTCTTTTTTCGTTCTTTATATGCCTCTTATCGTATGCAACACATACTGCCTCTAAAATAATCTTAAGTGAATTGCTTTTAACGTTACCGATTTGAATTAGAAACAGTAACTACTTCGTAGTTTCTTATTCTTTAAAAAAACAATAAAAGTTCAAAAATTATACAGATGATTTCTCATGCAAATAATCGTTTATCTATTACGTTATTTAAATAGCGATCATAAAATTTTGTTTGAACACCAGCTTTATATATTTGAGGTCCATATGATAAAGTATTATAATCATTAGTAAGTACTTGTGTACCATAATAGCCCATTGGATGTGGTCGATCAAAATAATCACGTGTAATAGGTGGTAGATAATTACTTTGATTATAAATTGATGGTGGTCCATAACCCGTTGGATTTAATCCCAATGTTCGAAAATTTGCTGTAGATTTATCAAGTGAAGTATCATTAACTTTAAATTTACCACCGTTAAAATCTTTAGACGATAAATTATGATGAGTAGAATGATTATGAGTATGACGATGTATTCCTCTTTGACCATTGAGTGGTGCAGAACGATTTTGATTAAAACTTCCTTGTTGATTAGAATAAGGATTAGAAGAATAAGTATTATATTGTTGAAATTGAGAAGTTGAACGTTGATTACCATTATAAGTACTATTACCATTACGATAATTACCGTTTCGCCCATATCCATTACGATTATTGCCTCTCCTTCTATTTCCATTTCCAGTTCCATTCCCATATTCGTCATCATCATCATAATCAAAATCAAACCCGTCTTTATTCATATTATTTGGATCGTCCTTTCCATAGATACCATTAAGTGGATCATAATCCTTTCTACTTCTATGATTTCTCATTCGAATATTTGGTTTATAATTATGATCCATAGATGATTTATTTCTCATATAATTAGTATAATGTTCAGCCCAATCATATTCAGTTTGAAGTTTACCACGTGGATCTGTTCTTGAATATGTACCATTTCGACGTGAATTTGGACCACCAGCACCACCGCCACCACCACCACCACCACCACCACCACCACCACCACCACCACCATCTTTTAAAGGTATATATTGTTTTGATGTTCCTCCTTGTTTATTCTTATCTGCATCGGTTGGTAAACCTGATTTTTTATCTTTACCTTCTCCTAACATTTCATAACGTCGTCGTTCTTGATTAAATATCATATTAGGTGTATCACGACCAGTGTATAGAAAATCACGTGCTTTTCGAGTTGCTTTTGTTAATTTAGGTGAGACAGGGAATTCTTCAGGATCAGCAAGATCAATTTTTTTCGTAGGATCAAGTGCAGGCATAAATGATGCATCTGCATATTGTTGTTGACGCATAATCCAATCAGGATTTTTTGCTTTATAATAATACCAATAAGGATAATAATTATCATTCATTTCAGTAGGTGGATTCATCCCTGGACCTTCGACAAGAGCTCCTCTACCTCGTCGTGCTTCAATTTCATCTTTTATTTTTTGTTTCTCTTCTTTTTTTGCTTCTTTAGCTTGAACAGCCATTGGTACACCAGCGTCAGGTAATTCATTGTAAAAATAACGAAGTGTATGAGGTCCTTCTCCTGTATAGTAAGGATCTTGATATTCCTCTTGTTTATTAGGATTATTTATAGTAGTAGCAGCAGTAGTAGGGCCTTCCGGTGGTTGTCGAAAATGTCCTTCTAAAGATGTGATTGACGATCGTTCTGATATATCATCATCTTGATAATTAGTAACATCATTACTTCCATCAAAATCCCAATTGCTTAAACGATCTTTTCTAGCTCGTTTTGTCATAGTTTATTTTATAATGTACACAAAATGAATGAATACAATTTTTTTTTCAATCAACGGATTTCTTTTTTTGTTTGAAATAAGTGTATTAACAACATTAACGTTCGTTATTTGACAATGACGTTTTTCTTTTTATAAATGTTATTTAAAGAAATAAAAAGCAAACATAAACATTTGTTAAAACAGCATGACAATGGTATGTTATTCAAAAATAAGAGAATAAAAAAAAGGCGTTCTGATTTTTATCTAAGAATGTATAGGAAGAACGAAAAGAAGTAACTTTATTTACATTAAAATTTGATCGAATTATAGAATCACGTGTATTTACATTCGTAATTCATACATAAATCAAAATGAAATCTTACGAGAGTGTTGTCTTATCAAACAAAAGATAAGAAAGACAAAGAAGTAGATATTTCTTTCTTTTTTTGTTTAGAATAAAATAATGTCAGCAGAAGACAATAATCAACAACAACAACCAAGATTACCTTTAAAAGATGTACCTGATGAAATTCAACAGAAAATTATTGAACTTGGAGGAAATCCTAATCTTAATCTTTATAAAACTTTATCATCTAATCCAATATTACTTTCATCTTGGATAGATATTGCTTATTCATTACGAAATAATTGTACAACATCACGACAACTTCGTGAATTAATGATTCTTCGTGGTGCACAACTTTGGCATTCAAATTATGAATGGTTTCAACATGAACAAATGGCAAAACAATGTGGTTTATCACAAGAAAAAATTGATTCAATTAAAGAATGGAAAACAAGTTCTCTTTTTGATGGCAAAGAAAAAATAGCAATTCAATTAATGGAATCATTGATTGAAAATCGAGGAAAATTAAATGATGAATTAGATAAACAATTAAAAAAATATTTTACAGAAGCTGAATATTTGGAATTGATTTTAACAGGAAGTTTCTATGTAATGGTTCCAACAGTATTAACAGCATTACAAATTCAAACTGAAAATTAAACTTTTTCTTTCCATATAATATACAAACATTTATTTACATAAATATTAAATAGTAGATTTGATTGTCAATTGAGATCGATGTTGTAATTGTTTTTTATATTTTCGATAGAAACAACAACAGAATATTCGATAAAACCATGTTTGTCGAAGTTCTTTTATATAAGATTCATTTGGATAAATATATACAATATAAACAAAGACTGATGGTATATGAAGTAAGAATATAACTACAATATGAAGACGAAGTTGTACTAAATTTGAATATGGAGCACATTTAACAAGAAGATGACCATGAATTGCATTTGGTAGAAGACAAGTTATGAGAAATATTGGTGGAACTAAAAAATCTCGATGAATATATAATTGTTCAAGCCATACAAGATAAAGGTGTTGTTTAGGTTTTGTATTTGTATGTATAAGAATTTTTCGTCGAGCAATTGTCGTTAGAATACATACTGAACAAATTAAATGAACACTACATGGAATAATAACATGAATATATGAGAATATAGTATCAGCTTTATACCATATTGGATGTGAGATATAATCATATATGCATATTGATTCTCCTGATGGACTCACATTATATTCTCGAGCAAATATTGCAGGTAAATTTGAAATCGCTGCATAAATAAAAAATCCAATTGATACTAGTATTGCATGTCGACGTGTACCATATAAACCCATGTTGAAACATTCAATTAATACTCGTTCAATAGCAATACCAACACTTACCCATATACCTGTAAAACCCATTGTTAATGATATATAAGGATATGCATAACATGACCATAAACGAAGTGATGGAGTATCATATGCTGCAATAGTCAAAACTACAGTTTGAAGAAAGATTGTACGTATAATCGTACTTGAACAAAATATGATTAAATAGATTCCACAAGCTGTAATTCGAATACTTTCACGTGTAAATGTCACCAAACCAGCAATAGTATTTATTAATCCAATTATAACTAATAATGTTATTAATATAATATAGACAATACGTGCGACAACGGTATCTTCTAACATTGCCGTAGAGAATGGTAAATTAATTGCATTATAAAGTATTTCACAACGATCGCCACCTAAACATTCATTTGGACATGCACATTTGTCTGAAATACATGTACCTCCATTAAGGCATGAAGCATTACTATAATTCGAACACGACAACATTTGAATGAATACAAAAAAAAGAATGAATCTATATAAGAATCAGAATAAACATATGTCAAACTACTCGTTTTTTTGTATTGATTAGAAAGGCTTGATGCCATGCGTCATATGTTTACCTGATTTTTATAAAGAGTACTGTAAAAAATAAGTAAATCTATAAGGAACACATATATATATATATATATATGTGCGTGTAGAGTGTAAAGCTCAAAGATTTGAATCTAACAGTTGATAGAAGGATACATCTTTTCATAACGATAATTTTTCGTTAATCATATATTTTGCTTTCAATGTCAATTGTTTAAACTAGATTCATTCATTCGTTTCTTATTGAATAATCTTAGTGTCTTTCTTTTGAATGACTCGTTTCATAAAATATTCTATTCATGACATTAATCTAAAATATAAATTTGCAAAAAAACATAATAATTATCGTGTAGAAGCGAGCATGGTATAATAAGTAAATAGAGAATGTCGATGTATATCTACTGTAAATCCGTGGAAATTTTGCATAGACGAGATAATAGCTTATTGGAAGAAATCATTGTTTTGTTAAACATTACTCTTAATTATATAAGATCTAATTAGAGATGTTCATCGGTTTTTATTTTATTTGAATAAATACAAAACAAATAAAAGAAAAAGAAAACTTTTACTACTAAATCATATGACAGCACGCTTATATAAATTTATATTATTGAATAATATCTTAAATATGAATAGATAATAAATAGAATCGACAGGGTGCGTCAAGGTTTTATTCTTCCATTAGAGAGTATTAATATGTAAAAACGAAGGAATATGATTCTATAATCAAAAACACGACTGATTAAATCATTATATATAAGATTTCTTGTTTAATATTGATAAAATAATAGAAGTAAATCAATCTTTTCATAAAATATTAGTTATATTTCTTTTAGATTATAAAGAAAGTTTATTTTTTAATACTTCGATATCTGAGCTCCGGTCTCTTTTAGAACAAAAAGTTAAAAAATGATATTAGTTTAATAAAAAAAGGAAATAAAATTGCATAATTCGTAACTGTATCTTTATGTTATTTGTTATTATTTTCATTACTCAATTAGAAGTAACTGTGAATGAGGAATCTACAATATCGGACATTCCTACAGATAATTCATTCCTTTTGAGAAAGGTTGTTTTATTCATTTTGCATCTTGAGGGTATGGGTGACTGTAGGATACGCCTGCGCTCACACCGCTTGAGATATGTCAAAATATTTGCTTTCTCTTTCTTTTTTTTTCTTTATACTGTTGTTGTGTTGTTATTTCTTGTTAAACTTATTGTATGTGAACACACTTTTTTCATTGAATAGAGATGGACTGTTTACGAGATCCACTTATCATTCTGTCGTTTTTATATTATACATATATATATACACGTGTGATTTCTCTTATTTTGATGGAATGAATGCATGTGTAATTCGTCATGAAATAAACTAATACATGAATAAACTCCCGATAAAAAGCATTATATGTGACAGTTTAGTTAACTGCGAAATTGCTTTTTACTCTACTTTTTATGAGTACAATTTTTAATTAGAAACATGCTCACTCGCACTATAATTATTTCATAAGATATTTAATAATTAAATTAGTTTGCTTTAGATAGAAAGTCTAAATTCTATATGTAAATCTTTATTTAGTTCCTTAAAAGTTGTTAATGATTGACACAATATTTGGATCTAAAACGACGACTTCCTAAAATACTAAGTACTATCAGAAACTTTATTAATAACTTTTGTTCTTCAAAACATGCAAAATCAAGAAAAGAATTTAACTAATGATCGCATGTTTTTGCGGTGATGTGAAAAATATACGTGACTAAGCATTTTTTTTCATGTCTAGCAAACACATATTATAAAAGGCGGATACTTCTAGCAAGACAAATTACTCAAAAAGCAAGCTATCTTACATATAAACATGGCAATACCATTAACTGTTATCGGACAAGAAATAGTTCGTTATTGTGGGACATCAACTTTTGCTGTCGGTATCTTAGGAGGAGTTCTTAATACTCTAGAATTTTTTAGTCTTCGAACTTTTCGAGAAAGTTCATGTGCATTTTATTTAACAATCATGGCTTTTAGTAATATTGGATGCTTAGGTTTTAGTTTTTCTCCACTTATCATGGTGGCTTTAATCAACATCGATGTAAGTAATACATCACTATTTTATTGTAAATTTCGACGTTGTATGTCTCAAGCATTTCTTGGCATTTCGATGACATGTTTATGTTTGGCAACTATCGATCAATATTTTGCCACTTGTGCTTATCCTCGTTGGCAACGATTATGTAATATCAAATTGGCTCATCGTTTAGTAATCATAACTGCTCTTATTTGGATATTACATGGAATTCCATATTTGATGTATTTTAATCTTGTTCTGTCATCAACTACAAATACAACTACTTGTACTAGCACAAGTTCTACTTTTAATTATTATCGAAATTATATTTTTACTATTGGTATCATTGGATATCTTCCAATTGTTATTGCTGGTCTGTTTTCACTATTAGCTTATCGTAATATCCAACAGTTAGCTTATCGTATAGTGCCTCTTATACGACGCGATCTAGACAAACAGTTAACCACCATGGTACTGGTGCAAGTTCTTGTATGTGTGTTTACTCTGACACCATACACCACCATAAATGCTGTTGTTACAAGTGTAAATCTTACAAATGATCCAATCACTCAAATGAAACTTCAATTGGTTTTAAATATTACTCTAGTTATGTATTACTTGTATTTTGCAGTAAGTACCAGCATATAACATGAGTTCAATATTTTATTTTATTATTTCAATTTAGAGTCCATTTTATCTCTACTTATGTGTATCTGAGCGATTTCGTAGACAATTTATCCATGTATTATCTAAAATCTTCATCAACTTTTGCAAGCGACCGACAATACGTGTGAATCAAGTTATACCAGAACCATGAATCTGGATAATGAATGAGAAAAACTATGATTGTTTGCTAGAATAATTTTGTATTTGACGTACATACATATTATGTTCGTGACTAGTCTATTATTAACACATGTTTGATGTTGTATAAAACATTGTAAATAAATTTACATCATTATGCTTCACTCATTTAAGGGATGATACGGATATCACTATTACAAGAGAAAATACGATTATCCTAACTCACAATCGCATCCACATTCTTAAGATGAAACGGTCAACAGATATCATCGTTTATCTTCATTTTAATCCAATTTTTCGATGATCTTGTGTATCAGACGCTATTTTATCTTAAAAATTACTTCTCTAAATGAGTTAACCGCGTGATCGATATATAATCGATTTACATATATTTAATTCGTCTCGGCTTCACTGGACTTTTTAATAAATAATGTCCAGATGACGTTAAAATATACTAGAATTCAATTAAACATATGACAAATAAATGAGATTTCTCTAAAATCTGTATGAATAATATAATGAGACAATATTGTAATAGTTTGCAGCTATCCAATGTCTACCTAGCAAACTGTTTAACACTACTATTTAAATAACATGATTAATAACTATTCATCATATATTTCTATTAAATAGATTGCGTGAATAATTAGTTATTCATTAAATTCTTCGATAAAATTATTCATCATGGTACCCGTACAATAGAAAAAAAGTTTTAATATTAATTACGTGTAGGAGGATACCAAAAAAAATATTAAAATTATTCGAATAAACAAACTGAAAAATCATGTTATGAAATCTTAAATTTGAAAAGACTGCATCTTATTGAAAGAAAGTATTCAATCGATGAAATTCGCATTCAAATATATTTTATTTTGAATGAGAAAAAATTTCAAGTTAATATAGTTCAGTGCTGTATATGAACGACTTCTGATTAATGGCTCATCTGTTCAAATCTGAGATGGATTATCTTATATTTCTGAAAAAGTTTTAGGTTTTATATGAAACACGTTTCTATAATCAATCGCGTCGCAGACGCATTTTGAGACAAAAAATATCTATATGGGCGTGTAGCTTTCTTATTTTCTCTTAATAAATTAGATACAGATAATGTTTGTGGAGTATACGTTGAGAAAAATGTGTTGTATACAGATTCTTCTGTCGAATTGTCTATCTGTTCTTTTCGTTAATGTAAAATCAAAACGATGCATGCATCAGTGAACATTGTAGTCAAAGAGAGATAAATACACGTGCTTCTCGAATTTTTATTCAATGTGTGTTGCTTTCGTTTCGTTTTGTTTCATAAGTAGGTAATGTATTCATGCGTTTTTCTCTGACTCCAAGCTTGTTTGATCATTACTTAATATTAACTATCACTGAACTATTTTTATTCTCAATTAAAAGGTTGAAAAATATGAAAACAGAATTTGTTTTGAATCTCAGTCGATAATGATAATTGACAAAAATAGAAAAATACGTGAAATAAAAGATGATTAACATCTCAGAAATTTTTTGCTTTTTTCTATTTAGCCGACGCAAAACATGGATACAACAAGTTATTCTCCAGTAGCCAAGAAAAAAGACCGAAAAATGTACTTTATCTATGCTTTCATGCTGATAACATTCATCCCAGAGGTACTTCTTATAAGGCATGGACTCAAAGAACTCATGATGAATGCTCATCAAGAGAATACGCACAAAATGGCTACCATATGCCATGTTAACAAATATTCTTATCAAAAGATACCTGGAAAATACGGTGGATATTATAACGAACAATTCAAGGTTACCTATCGAATCTTCAACGGCTCTCGTATCACAAGCATGATTAAATCCACACGGGAATCTAGCCAAGGTCGTAATAATAGAGTAAGAAGTAGAATATCACGGATTTAGATGAATTAATGCTTTGCTTCTCAACAGTTTGACCGTAGTTTAATTGATGGTGGAAATGATTTCAATGTCTCAGTGAAAAAATTTGTTAAATGAAAGAAGAATTGGCACTTATTTTTCTCTTCTCTGACAATTTTTTTTTTCGATTAACCAATTTCTGATTATGCAACGAGGTCTTGAGCATTTTTAGTTTTAGCAAAAACTTAATATTTTTAAGGAAAGATCTTTTACATAAAAAAACAATTATTAGAAATAAAAAACTCAAAATACTACCTAATTTTTTAGTATTTTCTATGTGAATGATCCTTCCAGAGAAATATTAATTTGTTTTTGTTAAGATTAAAAATATTCAAGACCTTGTTAGGTGGTCCCATATCTACAAACTACCCATAATCGAAGAATGATTAAAAAAATTGCGAAGCTGGAAGAGGATGTATAAGCC